TAGTACATTATAATAAAATGGTGCGGGATCATAATCATAACATGTATTAGCGGATGATCGGGTATTGTAAAATAATTTTTTTATATGTTGCACACCGGGTGAAGGATCAGTCGTGTAACATCGACGGTTCCATCTATATTGAATTCTTTGGTGATCTCATCTTATGCGACAAAATCGAATTTTATGACATGAATGGAAACTATTATTTTTTGAAGTTACAGTATTATCGTTAGAGCAAAATGAACACTGACACCTTAGCTAGTCCTGTTTATGATTTAGAGAAATTTAGAAATATAAGTGAAGCATACGAAAAAAATGAATTAGCATATCTCGAGCAATATTATTCAAAGTATTACGTTGTTGACCTGAGTAAGCACGATTATGATTTAATATTTAGAAATAATGCGTATTTTAAATTGACAATTTTTGTTCAAAGAAAACTCCATGGAAGATTTGTATATTTATCAAGCTCCAAACAAGTAAAGACATACTTAAAAAAAAAAAAAACATCCGAGCAACATAAAAACCATTTAATAATATTTCTTCTACTGTGCTAAAGATTATGCGTCATAGGGTTAGCACCAACGCATCCTTTACTTCAACGATCAGAGGCTCAGAGCTCTTCTGATCATTATCCGTCAAACATCCAAACTATAGAATATGATGTTAAGGTTAAGAGCTCGATTAATAAGAAAAGACAGGATCCTCTTTCAATTAATACTGAAATTTGTGCCATTACAACTGAAGAAGGAAAGCGTTATAGCATTAAAGCTGGCGTCGCAGGTTGGATTATTGATATCAATATGAGATTGGAACATGAAAAGGAATTGCTACAAAATAAGGTACTTGAATGTTTATTATTCAAATCTTCTTTTTTAAACAAATCTTTTTTAACTGATTTTTTTCGTAATAGCCATTTAAAGAAGGTTACATTGCAATTATAAAACCTAGACAAGAGAATTCTGATAAATCATTAAGCCATTGTTTTTCTGAAGAACGATATAAATTATTTCGAAATCTGTCATAGAAATATTAACTTAAAAAAGTTCGTTACGTATAAAAAGGTTCGCAACATCCAAAATCGACATATTCTACGTATATACATACAGGTATATAAAAATAGATATATATACACACCATATATATAATTATTATGTTACTATATAATATATTGTTTTTATCTGGTTGACGTGGTAATCTAAAAGTCTCAATGGTCCAGTTAATAAAAGAGTGAATGTTCAGATCATATAATAAAATAGCATAATAACGTATCTCTCGTTAATTTCCAACTATCATTACTGATCGATTAAGGGAAGCTATAGAATCTGATTCAGAGTTGCGACTGGAACTAGTGTGTCAATTTCTCAATTTCCGGGATTTTTCATTGTTTAATCAATGAAATCGACACTAAGTGGAGCTAACCTGCGCATGAATGTGCGTTGCTCTTCCGAACAGTCGTAACAATATACATAGTTCCTGAGGCTACACTCTATTTTTTTGATCATAGGCCTACAATCGGTACATTAAGTTGTTCAGAACATATATTCTGAGTCTCATATGGATCAAATAACTTATATTCGGACAACTTTGTGCATAAACATTTTGCACGTGCAGTACGTATATACTTGTCCAAAAAAAGTAACCATTTTCGGTTACTGCAAGTAAATTTAGATTGAAACAAATTGCAATTTATAAAATTATTGGTACGAGTAACGGTTCCCTTTTTTATTCCTAATTTTGCGAATCACCTTACTTTTCCTCTTTCTTTTCTTACTACTGCAAATCATATTAATGGTTATACTCTTATTAATATTTTTATTAAAAACATTTTGACGATCACTTCGGATAGATTGTAAATCCTTGGGAGTACCGATATTTATACATTACGTGAAATAAGATCTATAAAAAAACATCTGTTTCCCCAGTTAAAAAAAAAAATCAAAAATTTTTAATGATGAGAATCCTACGTTTTTCCAGTTCGAATAATAAAAATGGCTTATTAAAATTTATCAGATTATACTCTGCTACACCAGTTAACAGGCTGGCCTCAGTAAGCCATGATACTGGACCTGTAACAAAACCTTCAGATGCTGATATATCGATATATGCAGATGGTCATGTGAGAAACGATTGGACACAAAACGAAATAAAGTCTATTTATGATTCACCTATAATGAGTCTTTTATATTATGGTGTAAGTTCATGACTTATAAAATCAAATTAATCGAGGATTATTCTTTTTTTTTTCGATTGCATTTCGATGATGTAAAATTCGATTTGATTTCAATTCGATATGATGTTTATTTTGCATATTTATAAAATTGTCTAGGCAAAAGTACACCGTAAATATCATAATCCACTTGCCGTACAACAATGCACGCTCTTAAGTATCAAAACCGGTGGATGTTCTGAAGATTGTGCATACTGTCCACAATCTTCTAAATACAAAACTGCCGTCAAGGCAACAAAATTGTTAGATACCGATGACGTTATTACTGCGGCTAAGAATGCAAAAAAAGCTGGTAGTACCAGGTGCGTTTTAATATATTTTAAAGATACCTCTACATTGTTATTACAACTTATCATCGTTTCTGGTATCATAAGGTTTTGTATGGGCGCTGCTTGGCGTGATCTTAATGGTAGAAAATCCAATTTTAACAAAATCTTGGGATATGTAAAAGAGATTAGGTATATATAATTATATTTCCAGTTATTTATCTTTTTACTTGACAATATATTAATACTTTGTATTTTACTAATATATAGGGCAATGGACATGGAAGTTTGTTGCACTTTGGGTATGTTAAATGAAACCCAAGCCAAAGCTCTGAAAGAAGCTGGCTTAACTGCATACAATCATAATTTGGATACATCTCGTGAATATTATCCAAAGGTTTGTGTTAATATATATATATTTATTTATTTATTTATTTTATTTATATAATTAAATGTTTTATTTATTTCATTGACATTTATCCATTTCTCAGATAATAACCACTCGATCTTATGATGAGCGACTTGAAACAATTTCAAATGTTCAAAATGCTGGTATTTCTGTATGCTCAGGTGGTATTATTGGGTTAGGTGAAACTCCTGAAGATCGCGTAAATATGTTACACACTTTGGCAACGTTTTCAATGCATCCTGAGAGTGTTCCTGTTAATGCGCTTGTGCAAGTTGAGGGTACACCATTGGACAAACAAGAGGTTTTATTCTTATGTCATTCAAAAGATGTCGAGTTTTATATTATACCTATTTTTTGCTTATATTCCTTAACCTTTTTCGTAAATTAGCCAGTTTCTATTTGGGAGATGATTCGAATGATCGCGACTGCGCGCATCATCATGCCTAAATCGATGGTTAGATTATCTGCCGGCCGAATACGGTTTTCCCAACCTGAACAAGTATTTAATGTTTTATCAAGTCCTTCAATAATTTTCATTTATTTTTTCATTTATAAATTAAGAAATGTTTCTTTTATATACATTTCTATAGGCTTTATGTTTCCTTGCTGGCGCAAATTCTATTTTTACTGGTGATAAATTATTAACAACAGATAATAACGATTTTGATGCTGATCAAGAAATGTTTAAAATTCTAGGTAAGTTTTTATTTTATAATATTATGAAAAAATTATTTAAGTTCTAACGTTTAAATTTTTATATAATGTAGGCCTTACACCAAAAGCCGCCAATTTTAATCAAGGATCGTCCCCAATGATTAATGAACCTCCAAGCCTGAATGATTATGATAACAAGCAACGGCAAAATGAATTCTAAGCAATTTAAGTCGCATAAAAATATATTTAAATATGTCTTAATGCGAATGTTCAAGTAGATAATTCTTATTTTTTATTTATTTAATATTGTATGTGTGCAACACTTAAAAAAATATGCTAAATGTTAGATTTAAAAAAAAATTATTTCTAAATTTGCGTTGATTGAAAAGCTTTAAAATGTCATATCTATTATTTTAAAGCTATATTTTAGACAAATTGGTCTAAAAATTGTGATGCACTTTTAATTTATTTATAATTTTTTAAAATAAGCTAGATATTAAATTTCTACCCGGGTATTATTAAATTATATATCTGGTTATTCGGGTAATTTATTATACATAGCTAAATGTTCACCCAAATATAATCTCTAAATAAAACTAAAAAATATTAATAAATATGATTGTTATACAGTAATAATCAAGAGTTATATCATTAGTTATTATTTTAATTTTTATTGATTTATATTTTATTATATTATATTTAATGAATTAATAAATTGACAATTATAAAAGAACTTCACTATTTAAATATTTAAGTTTTTTTGCTATTAATATAATTTATTGTTTTTTTTGTAAATTCAATTTTAATTATATATACAAATATTTGCAATTAATAAAAATTTTTATTCTTGCTTTATATAAATAATCAATATCAAATCTAAATAAAAATATTTCAAAAATATAAATATTTAGTTTATTACAAATATTCTATAAAATTTTTTTATTTAATTTAATATTTTTTTTTTTGATGTTAAGGTAACCTCTTGGTTATGTTCCTTTTATTCGATTATAGTTATAATTTTTACAATATGATTTTTATATCATATATATATTTGGAGAGTACAACTAGCCACATGTACAACTTTTGGTTGCCTATTTAAGTAGTTTGTTTATTGCTAAGTTCTATACTAGATGTCATATTTATAACCCAACTAGGGGGTTATCTATTTAAACCCTCTGTGTCTTGTGATTATTTTATTAACTAAACAAGAATACTTTATACTCTTTATTTTCAAATACTGACTTAGGATTTTAAGACAGGCTCTTGTCCAAAGAGCCTTTTATTCTTGAGATAAACCTGCTAGTGCTTTCTGTAATCACAATCTGGCTAACTTAGTTTTCAGTTGATACATACAGACTAAAGTTTACCACTTGCATCCTAGTTTCTATATTAGATATTATGGCCTGATCACTACTACACAACCTACTTTTGCCCTTATAGAGTTTATTCAAACCCCAGTACTCTCTTTCAAATCTATTCGGTATCTTTTTTTTTTCAGTATCACACTAGTTAAT